TTGTCATACAAACGTTGACACGATAACATTATCATTTAATATTAAAAATGTCAATGTGTCGGAGATAATCTCGGGAGAATTGGCAGCGTGGAATTTCGAAGGATCAAAACCGAGTTATGCCGTTCCGGTTCCATTAAATGATTAATGTTTCGAGGTACGTCTGATTAATGTTTCAAGTCGCCATCGATGCGACCTGGCCAAGTTCGTAGTTTGCACTCAAACCCAAACGTGAATTCTCCGAGGAACCATTCTGATCGAAAGATACTGCACGCCGCGCCACTTCGTTTCATTGAGTATAATCTCTGATAAAGTTTCCACTAACTAGATAATTCCATGCTATTTATCATTGGAAATCCAAGTATTTATGATATCGGTAAGTATATATTTTCAACTTGTATTAAACCTTATTTAAAAAAAGATCTCTAATCCAACTTGAAAAACCTAACAAAAAATCAAAATAAGAATTCTAAATAACTAACTTAAATAATCAAGTATTATCCTTAATTACAAAGACATCATGCATAGTCTCTAATCTTTTAATTCTAATTAAAAATCCGATAAAAAAAAACAATAAAAGATAAAACAAAAATTCTAAATAAAAACAAAAATATCGAATAATAAGACGTTAAATATTAGTCAAAGAAGGATATAAAATCGATCTTAAAAAGCCTCTAATCTTTCAATCTAATCAAAAACTGATTACAAAAAAAAATGAGAAAACTAAAACAAAAAATTCGAAGCAACCAATCTCTAAGTAATAAGGCACCAAATATCCTTAATCAAAGAACACGAAAACACGATATATAAAATCTATCGTAAGAAATCTCTATCTCTTTCAATCTGATCGCAAAAAAATCCAACGACAAAATCAAAACAAACAAAAATTCCAAACAAGCAATCTCTAAGTAATAAGGCACCGAATATCCGTGGTCAAAGAAGGAAGACACGATAATAAAATCGATCGCGGGACGCTCGTAAGACAACGAGGGACAAGGAAGGGTATAAGGAAAAAGCGAGAAAGGAGGCGATAGCATCGGCATCGATGTCCGTCCAGCGGATGGAAACAAAGGATAACGAGGCGCGAAAATCGCTTAACGCGATTGGCCATCGATTCTATGGGAAACTTATCTTGGCCGTTGCTCACTCGCCGAGCCAATAAAGGATCCCCTCGGCCTTTCCACGGGATTAAATATCTCGGGGCAATTTACCTCCTTCGACCTCTTTCGCCGCCGTCTGCCCCACCCCTCCTCCTCCCCTCCTCTATCTTTCTTTCC